AACAAAGCTATAGGACTATAATTCTTGGGGGGGGAGTTCCCTTCTGTCTTGGAAGGTTTTTTTTTTTACACATTTTATGGCAGATAAAGAATTTGTAAGAATGCATAACACAACCCGATTAATCAATATGATGCTACAAGGGCCAGTTGAATGTAATTCAGTATACACATTTGGAAACAAAGGATGATTTTTTTTTTTTGCTGTGCCTGGTAGCTAATTCTTGATAATATATTTTTGCGAACCATCTATAGGTAAAATTAGATTTTTGAAGAGTTATAAGCAAGATGAGCTTTATAGGAAATTGTGAATTTGATAGTGCAGGAAATCTATTCCAAGTCAATATCAATTGAGTAGCCATAATATCTTCATTGGTCCTTTGAAGTGATATAAATAAACCAATATGACTAAATCTTAATTTCAAGTCATTCAAAACTCGGAAAGTGTGCATGGAATAGTGGACTAAATCCTTTCAGATCATATAGAAGTATATATGTAATATTTAGAAGGCTGGCAAAGTCCCTTGTGCAATCCTTTCATCTGATTTTAAAAACCAAGGAAAACAAAATATTAACTAGCTTACAAAAAAGTCTAGCATTCTACATCTAAAAGATGCCATCATGTGTCCCAATAAGTGTAACAGTTAGCAGTTTGTCTCCATTGAACTCCCAAGGGCAGAAGACCAGACTCCTGATATTTTCATGTGGCTTAACTACTGTAATCCAGAGGCCTCAAACTCCCTACCAACCAGATACTGAAGAGATCCAGCCACTTCTGCTCCTGAAGAGAGCTCTGGGATCTTTCACCCACTGTCCTGTAGCTCACTATGCTGGGTTCTACCCTCAGAGCATGAGGTTTAATCCCTGGATTCCCTGACATACTGAAGCTAATACCATACTGACATACTGAAACTAATAATATTTATTCACCCAAAGAGTGATTAACACATGGAGTTCACTGCCACAGGAAGTGGCGGCAGCTACAAGCATGGATGGCTTCAAAAGGGAATTAGATAAGCATATGGAGCAGAGGTCCATCAGTGGCTATTAGCCACAAGGTATAGATAGGGGCTCTGGGGCAAGTGATGCTCTGTCTTCTTGGTGCTTGGGGGGGGGGTCAACAGTGGGAGGGCTTCTAATGTCCTGGCCCCACTGCTGGACCTCCTGATGGCACCTGGTATTTTTGGCCACTGTGTGACAGAGTGTTGGACTGGATGGGCCTTTGGCCTGATCCAACATTGGCGTCTCTTATGTTCTTATGTTCACTCTGTGTGGGTGATGTACACAACCTGCCTCCTCCTTTCAGTATTAGGAACGTATTCAGGAAGTATGGACCCTATATGGTGCTTCTCTTTTAGGTCCTAGAATTTTGCCTATCATCATAAGATGACCTAGGTAGGGGAAAAAAAATTCAATGGTACCACAGGTGTTGCTCCACAGAGAATACACACACACACAAAAGTTTGGCAAAATGAGATGTTGCCTGGGATGGCCATTTCAATTATTAACAGTTTGAACTGTTTAAAACATTAATGCTGACTTTTTAAAAATGCCAACTGAAATGATGGGCTCCAGGAATATCATTGCATTTCCTGAAGTGACCCGAGGAGGCTACATATTTGCAGGAAAAAATAATATTTGCCTAACATAATTTGACTGCCAAATCTGTAACCAGGCAATTTATTCTAATTTTATGCCACCTTTATTCCAAGGACCCCACAGCAGAATACATGATCCTTCTACCACATTTTATCCTCAAGTTATTCATTTTTTTTTAATGACAGATAGTGACTGATCTAACATCACAAAGTGAACTTCTTGCCTAAGCAGAGATCTGAACTCAGGACTTCCCTGGCTCAAATCCAATACTCTGTCCACCATGGCTTACAGAGTATACTGTATTTTCAAAATGTGATACATGAAGAAATTGACCCAGTGCATTCAAGTCAATGCAGACAGATATTTGCAAAGTGCCATACAGAAGTTTGTTCATGATATCCATATAACCAAAGAGTGATTCAGTTATAATGATAAGTACCGTGGATTCTGCACTAACTTGCATGTAGTTGAAGTGTCAAATACAGTAGAAACAGCACTGATGAGCTGAGATTACTATGGCCTCTGTTCTGTATATTCTTTGATGAAAAAAAAACCATACTATTTCTATAATTAATATGAATGAATATGGGCATCATTTTGTACCACATCCCATTGGACAGTTTAGGTGGTTTACTGTACAAACTGAAACTACTTCTTCTAACTCAATGTGATCAAGATGGTGGAAAGAACACTTGAACCCATAGTTCATTTAATATAGCAGCCTACCATTCCAACAAATTTAGAAAAAAAGACAGTACATGGCATATTTGATGGGTATATAGTACCCACCGACACCAATGTCCCCATTGTGTATATTATGCATACATACAATTGAAAAGCTATCTCGTTGAAAAGTAGCACTCCTTATATACAGCACTTAATAACGATTCAAAAATATCATGATACAGCTTATGTTTATTAAAGGTGTCAAGATACCTGCATATTTTGATACAAACAAAAACAACCAAACTGCATGAAAATATGAATTACATAAAGTGAACATACCAACACAACTATAATCAAGAATAAGCATTTGCCTGCTATAGCCTGTACCATGCATCATTTTGGCAATAGTTTTCTTCTTCTAAAATAGACACAAGCTATTTGACCTAAAACACACGTGTTCAACTGTAATAAGAGAAATAAGTGGATGTCTTGTGGTAAAAGCTGAAATATGTTTTCCAAGACAATTATGGGAATATGGCTTGATCTTTAAAAGCATGGAAGAAAAATGCACTTCACTTTTACCCTACTTGCTTACTACAAACAGCTGCTTATGTTGGATCAAACCTCCTAACAATGTGCCAAAAATGGTAATGGCAAGAATTTATACCAGAGAAAAGGATTTCAAATACATTCTTTGGAACAACAGTATTGTACTGATGTTGATGCACTGATTTCCACGTTCAGCTCTCTGCATGCACTTAAGGACCAGGTGGAAATTAGGGTCATAGTCCTCATCTTTGCTCTCTTGTGCTTTATACCACAGCCTTGTTTTTTCTGAGAGGTCCTCAGAAAACAGCATGTATACACTGTTAATGGCCACAAGTACAGCTATAATGTGTCCCTAACCCCAAAGAAAGAAACCAGTGAAGCAAATACCACTTTATAGAAGCAAAGACAATTAACTCATTATATCCTGATTTTTAACAAGACATGAGCATCTACGGAATCTGAAAATTCTTAGGTGCTAATGACCCCCCCCATTTGTACTAAGAATAAAGAACAAGGCTTTTATAGTTTATCCTCTGAAAGCTTCTTTGAATGTAAAGTAACTTTTTGCACAGTTTGTGCAATATGAATATGACAAACTGCATTCTTCTATAAAACCGAGCATAGTTAAGATTAAAGAGGGGTTTGACTGGATGTTAACTCAAAATTAATATGAATTAATACCACCACCGCGATGTTACCATCCATCTACCATACCCTGGGGCGGGAGGTAGATGTCGCCCAACTATTCCTGGCGCTCGCGCTGTCCAAGAATGCTAGCCGCTGTGTATTATGCAGAATGTATGTAGATTTGTAGCACTGAATTTTAATTGTTTATATTATTGTTTTACTGTTTTTAGGTTTTATATTGTTGTTAGCCACCCTGAGCCACTGGGTAGGGTGGGATAGAAATCCCAAAAATAAATAAATAATAAATAAATAAATAATAAAATAATTCTGGCACATTACTTGTGGGGACAGCGAATCTCTGTGAGGCATGCCCGGAGTTCAATGTTCCCGCAGGGAGATTGGGAACCAGAGTGCACAAGGTAAATATCTGCTGAGCGATGAGCTCACCATGAGAAGAGAAACTTGGCACAGTCGGGAAAAAGATAAGACGGTGAGCTGCTTCTCTCACATCCTGTTATTGAGATCACAATATGCTTGTAGCTTAGAGGGCAGGGGGGAGAAAAGGGTGAAGCTAAGCTTAATAAAAATGCTGTGAAGTGAGAGAGCTTCAGACAGCTTCTGCAGATATGTGTCTCATGTCTTCTTTGAACCCTTCAAGCCTTCAATTACAGATTTATTTATTTATTTATTAAATTTCTACCCCGCCCTCCTGCTGACAAAAGGCTAATTTTACTCCAATTCATTCTGTTGACGTTTTAGTAATACTTGCAATTTTCTTTCCTCCTGAAGACTCACTATAGCTATTAATAGACAACCCCCCCAAAATATGAAATATAAACATGGTGTGAGATTGATTTTAACCAAACAAGTTAGTCATGTATGCGTACCAATATCAAATGCCTTGTATATATGGCTACCAGATACAGTTTGTACTTATTGTGTAGTGTGCTTTGTTTCCTTCTGTACTATATTATCCATTTAAACACCAATAACACTTTAGAAATCAAGACCAGGAATAGTACAGAAACACGCTACACATTTAGATGTCGTATTCCTTACAGTTTTTCACTACTGTGATATGTTCCAGTTTAACAAAACTAAAAGAAAGAAAGAAAATGTTCTAATTGTTTTACTTCCTAGGGCATCCCATTTTAAAATCAGCAACTCTTTTAACAGATAACATATGTGTGCTTGATGTTGATGTTAAAATCCCTCCATTTCCAACTTTAAAGAAATAAAAAGGAAATCTTTTTTTGAATGGAGATATCTCAAAGATATTTCTTTGGTAGACTCTGAGATGCAGTGAAGCTTAGTTTTTGCACCTGAACACTAAATATATAGGGGGTGGGGAGAGAGAGAGAGAGAGAGAGAGAGAGAGAGAGAGAGAGAGAGAGAGAGAGAGAGAGAGAGAGCTCTCAATAGATTTCAATGACTGCATGGAAGTTCTTTCACTGCCAACGCAAATCTAAGTATTTTCCACCTGATTCATACCTCTGTATGACTTTCATAATTTTGGAAAACCTCAGCACAAAGATAAATGCACTGTACAACTCTTGCACATACCTTCAAAGTAACTCGTTTCCCCTGTCTGTGCCTTCTTTGGTGGTTTCACAGAGGGATGTTTATTTTCATTGTTTTTGAACAACGCCAGGCGCACAGCTGGGTCTAGACGACAAGAACAAGTTAAAATCAAAAGGTCAGATCTTGCTCATTCATTCCTTAAAAGAAGTATTCGCCTTTTAGCCATTTATTAAAAGAAACAGAATATCTTCTGTAGGTTTTACATTAGCAAGGAAAAATATACTATTTCTAACATGAAAGAGTTAAATTATAAAAAAGAAAGCACTTTGATTTAAATGACACATTTAAAACCTTATACTATGGGCCACTAATGACAATTAAAATCTGTGTATTTAAATAACATTTGAGTCTTCTAGATAGAAAATAAATTTCCAACTGACAAAGAAAAGTAAAAACAGAAACAGGATGCAAAATTTCTAAGTGCACTGATTGAACATTTTGAGGCTGTTTAATAAATGTCTATCTCGGAATGAAAACTTCAGGTCTTTCCATGAAATCAACTAAAAAGCCTTTTAGAATAATACACAGTGTATAAGGCAGTTATCAGCCAAATCCAACAACGGAAATCTGACCATGGAAGCATGTTTCTGTACCTGACTGCTATTCTGCATTCTCCTTGCACATACAGAAGAGTGCTATAGAAGCCAGACTCTAGAACCTGGTGTGTATGCGTGTTGTGTATAGAGAGCATGATCATCTGTTTGTAGATTTCTCTGCCTCCCGTAGCTCAGTGCTTCCAAATGAACAATCAGCATCAAATACTTATGTGGAAGTGGAGGAGCCTTTTTGGACAAAGCAGCATATAGGTAGCTTGCTGCTATTTCACCAGGACCTTTAGATAAAGCCCACAATTTAGAGATGGTTTTATAAGTAATTTAAGTTATATCACTTAATATTTTAGGTTATTAGTGGTTTATTTATGTATTTGACAAATATTATATTCCTGTATAGGGAACAAAAATGTTTTAAGTTTGGGGTTTTACTTCTTTTACTGTGTACTGGTCAACGGCTGTAATAAATTTACTTCCTTCCTTACACCTTTTCTCTCTTCCTCACACTCACACAGACAGACAGACAGACAGACAGACAGGAAGCAGCATTTACTCTTCGTGCACTCCCATGCTGCTGGGGAAGGTACGTGCAACTACACAAGTGAGACCAATCACGTGAGTCTTTCCCAACAGGTTAACACTTGCAGGGAGCTTTGTTTCACTGAAGTAACAGTATTTACGTATCTATATACTATGCCTTCACTTTTATGTGGTTCACAGAAAGGCTTTGGATTGTGTGTTGAATATGGTGGCGGTGGAAAGTGCCACCAAGCTTCAGATGACTTATGGTGACCCCAAAGGGTTCAGAGGTGGTTTGCCATCACCTGCCTCTGAGTAACAGCTCTGAACTTCCTTGGTGATCTCCCATCCAAATACTAACCAGGGCCGCCCCTGCTTGGCTTCTGAGATCTGATGAGACCAGGCTGGCCTGGGCCATCCAGGTCAGGACAATGTTGAATATAGGAAAGTAATAATCAAAATGACCAAATATGTAGACATTTAAAATCTAGAGACTGGAGCTAAGGACAGACAAAACAGATCTTTCCATAAAGTTGAAAAAAAGACCTTAGTTTGCAAAAAAATAAAAAAATAAATCTGAAATCTAAAAAATCCCACATAATAGAAGCACCTTCAGTAGCTTTAAGAAACAAATGGCCTCATAGTGGTCATTGTGGGGGTCACTAGGCAACCACAACAGAACTGCCAAACATCAGCCTTGTTTTCTGTCAGTGAAAGGCAGGGGAAGAGGACAAGGGACCTTTCCAGGGCTGTTTTGGCCTTTGAAGGAGGGCTCATTGGGGCCCAGCCTGGCAGCAACCACCAGGCAATTTGATACCATGCAACTTTTTAAATTCATGCAGGTCTGGCTGCTTGCTGTTGTTTAACAGCAGCCATCTTATGAAAACCAGTGTGGTGCAGTGGTTAGAGTGTTAAACTAGGATCAGGGATACCCACGTTTGAATCAACACTGTGCAGTGGAAGCTCACTGGGTGACTTGGGCCACTCACACACCCTCAGCCTAACCTACCTCACAGGGTTGTAAGGATAATAAGGAGGAAAGGAAAAAGATGTAAGCTGCTTTGGGACCTCATTGTGGAGAAAGACTGAGTATAAATGAAGTAATGAAATAATAAATGTGGCTGAGGAGGGGAGGGCAGATAAATGGTAGTTTGGTTGGTGGGTGAAAAGGAGAGAAAGCAGCAGAGAAAGAAAGGAAAGATGTAAAAGGGTGGGAAGGGAATACTGTGGAAGTGAGTTGCTCCCTGGAAGTCCTTGTGAGTTTTCCACCATGCAACTGAGACTAATTTGGTAGCCAGCACTGCATAATGGGCCATAGTTTTCTCAGGTGGAGATTGCCAGGGAGAGGGAAGAAGGGAAAGCATAAGATAGGGGGTCTGAGAAAAGGTAGATTGGTTGGTGAGAAGGAAGGAGGAAAGGAGGCAGGAGAAGGGGAGAGGCTAATAGGGGCTTTCAGGGATGGGACAGAGGAAATAGTGGGGGACAGTAAAATAAGTCCTTGTGGGCCCCCACGTGTAAATACATATCAACCAGAAGATTTAAGCTTGAATCCCAATCACCGTAATGTGGAAATTTGATACCACTTAGATCATTGGGACTTTATTCTTAAAAATAGTTACGATTGCAGTATAAAAGTGGTTAAAATCATGGACAGAATTTTAGTATAAAGAAAACATTAGTAATACTGTATGTTTTGGCCAGTATTTAAGTTAATATGTCAAAATAAAAATGTAGTAATTCTAGTAGTGACCATATACCTTGTTTATATTGATCACTGAAATCTTAAAATGGAAATTAAGCTGTGCAATATACAGTTGTTCCTTTGTAAAAGAAAATGGGAAAAAAACCAGATGCTATTGGTGCGAACTAGCTCTGGCAACAAACATGTGTGGGCTAGGTGCAGCCTCTAAGACTTCAACCTCCTGAACATCCTTATTTTGTCAAAAAGAGTTCACAAATTGCACAGTTGCAGAGATCAGCTTGAAATGGTGGTGGCAAAAATGCAAAATGCTAGAAAGCTATAAAACATATAAAAGAATCCCACAGTCATTATGTTTCATTTCCAATCTTCACCTTTCCAGATTTTTCAAGACCTGACCTTGGAGTTTTTTTCCTTCAAACTTGACAGTTAAAGTTTAGAATATGATTAATGGTTTGGACCCTGTACCTGCCTCAGCTTGCAAGTCCTGAGCAAGGCTATTGGCCATAGAATGTTTTGGAGATCATTAACTCATAAGGTCACCATAAACTGGAAGCCACTTGATGGCACTTACCACCCACCCCCCTCCTTCTGCTTTCAGAGCACCATCTTCCTTTGCAGAGAACACTGCTCCAGTGCTAGGTGCTTTCTGCTTATGCAACATCAGCATCTTGTTAAGAACAAAAAGCTTCAGCATCAGAGAAGCATTCTCTGAAATGATGTACCACCTCTGCAAAGGAGGGCAGTACTGCTCAAATGGAAGGAAGGTAGGTGTGGAAGCCAGCCCGCTCAAATAAATACAAGGTGGTTACCACTTCCTGTTTGATAGTGACTATATATGACATTTAGATCAATTACACTGCAATATACAAATTAGCAGCAGCTGTATGCCTCAGGATGGTGCCTATGCAATCAACCAATGCTCCCTCTAAGTTGTGGAGTCTTGTGAGCAAAAATTCTACTTTGTGAGCTACTGGCATTAAAATTGTGAGCGAGCGACGTGGCTCCTGCATAAATTAGTTTGCTCTGGAGCCATCTTTCATGAGCTAAGTCAAAAATGTGTGAGTCAAAGGCTAAAAAACTGTGAGCTAGCTCGCACTAACTCAGCTTAGAGGAAACACTGCAATCCACCCTCATTAATGAACTAGTTGCCAAGCTACTCTTTTTAGCACAGCTTTTAGATTGTTCTCTGAAGTCAAACTTTCCTGGCTATTCATCAAAGTACACTTCTCGACTAGCACCACCAGGAGTATAAGCCTATTAAGAAGCTGCTTTACAACAATACAGACTATTGGTCCATCTTGCCCATAGTTTCCATTTTAACTGCCAGCACTTTCCCAATCTCTTTCCTAAACTTGCCATCAGAGATCCTGAATATACAAGGGATTAAAGCAGGGGTGGTTTGGGTGGTGGTGGAGCAAGCTAAACTAAGTGGCCCTTGTAGTGCTGGAAGTGCTACAAGATCTCAGCCACTTGTTGGATAAACACAAATTTGCATAGCTCTGCCTGGAGTGAGATTACATTACAGCAGTGTGCTGTTATGACGGCCCTGTCCACTTCCCTCCATCAGAGGTGAGATTTTCCCTCTGTTTTTCTTTCCCTGTCTGACTGAGCCGCCCTAGTAATGTGTTTTCTTCTTTCCTGAAGAACTCTGGCTGTCTTACCCTGTCAAAGTATAATATTTTGGCTGTTTGCTCATCCCAGAAACCTGAGGGAAGGGTTGCGATCGCCCTTTATCTTAGACCACTGAAAATGGCACTTGAAATGTTTTTATATTCCAAATTAACAAAATATTTTATTCAACATAGAGGGGGAAGGTCAGGTGAAATTGGGGGCTGAAATTTCTGAGGTAAAACCAGTACATGCACAGACTTTAGTTCTTATGTTTCAGGCCAATGAGAGTTTCCTAAGCTATTCAGAGTTCCCTAAAATCTTTATGTTGAGAGGCTTTTGTTCCAGTGTTTCCCTCAAACACTTTAGTACACTTTCTTTGAGTATTAATATAAGAACATAAGAGAAGCCAATGTTGGATCAGGCCAATGGCCCATCCAGTCCAACATTCTGTCACTCAGAGGCCAAAAATACCAGGTGCCATCAGGAGGTCCAGCAGTGGGGCCAGGACACTAGAAGCCCTCCCACTGTTTTCCCCCCAAGCACCCCCGACTAAGAGTTCCTATCTATACCTTGTGGCTAATAGCCACTGATGGACCTCTGCTCCATATGTTTATCCAATTCCCTCTTGAAGCCATCCATGCTTGTAGCTGCCACCACCTCCTGTGGCAGTGAATTCCATGTGTTAATCACTCTTTGGTTGA